GTAAATGTTATTGTCACAGTTACACATTATAGAGTGATGATTTGGGTACAACCCCATTTTCTTTGTAGAGAGGGCAGAAGCTATGCCACTTCATTATGATAAAAATTAGTGTTACAAGAGAAGTTATTTGTCCTTTTACTTGTGAGACTGAACAAAAGATAAGACTGCCCAAATCATGACCCTATTTTATTGTCTGTGGAAGATTCTTTTGGTGATGAACTTGGAACCTTTTAAAAGATTATTATTAAGATGGAATTTCAGTTTACAATATCAGAAAACATCTGTGGCAATTTCATTTTTCCTTCAACAAAATAATTTCTCTTCTTTCTAAATGAATCTTTGTTGTGTTAAATAGTATTAATCTTAACTGTTTTCTTTTGTTTTGGAATATTAAGGGTATTTTAGTTAATCATAAAGTACCAAAAAAGAATTTTTTTTGGGTATTCCTTACTTTTTTATTGCATGAAACTGAAGTACATGATATGATAATGAAATATGTGAAGAACAAAAGGAGATGGCACAAATTACTTGAAAAGATAGGTGAAGAGATTATAATATTAATAATAAAATGAGCAGATCACATGCTCCCTCTTTATGAGCACATGAAATACCCACTCCCTCGTACGTCTCTCTCTTTCCAATATTCATGCACCCCATGCAAGTGAACTGTGCAAAAGAATCCAAGCATCTTAAGGAATGGGGGTGGGCTCCACACGTGTCTGTTTTTAGTGAGAGATTCATCAGATAGGCTTCTTGTGGTTTTCAGACAGAGCTGTGAACAATAATAATGAACCAGCAGGGAACGTGGGTGATCAAATGCATGGCACTATGAGACAAAAGAATGGCTGTTGAATGTCTCATGTATAACATGGCTGTGGTTGATCATTAATTTGATTGAAACTAAGAATAACCATATAATAATGTCATTATCTTTCTATGGAAAAAAGAGGAATACTGAAAACTTCCACTGGTTACCAACAGAGAAACCCTTACCATCAGAACTGAAAAGGTAATTGATCGAATTCAGATGGGTTGCTTTCGAATCGGACCCAGGAATATGATGAGTGATCTGAATTCGAAATTCAAGAAATATAAGTTGATAAGATATTTTGATACATATGTAAAATACAGATTTGAATTTGATTTATTTATATATCAGGATTTCGGCCTTCAATTAAGGGTCTGTTTGGTTCGTAGGAATAGGGTTTGGAATTAGAATCTGAATGGTCATTCGGATTCCAACTGTTAATTGGTTGGACAGAATCGGAATATCATTTCCATTCCTGCATGGCAGAATGACATTCCTTTATTTTAGGGAATGGCTATTCCTTCCCCCTTCTTTGAGAACTAGATCCCATTCTAGCTGATTTCAATTCCAATTTTAATTCTTGTTTGAACCAAATAAGTTATAGGAATAGACTATTTCTATTAAGATTTCAATTGCAAACCAAATGGACCCTAAAATATCAATAAAGGGAAAATATGGCTGAAACCCATTTAACAAATTTTAACTTTACCTTACGCCCACAACAATTTAAAACTTCCAAAACCCCCCACTTTGACACCATACCTCTCCCTTGTATTGGCATCAATTCCCACATTGTGCCATTGTTCCCAAATGTATGGTGAAGTTAAAATTTGTTAGGTGGGGGTAAGTAAGGATTACCTATCAATAGATCTAATAAAATTGGCATAAAATTATAATACAATATAAAAAATATATACTATATAAGGAAAAAATAAGTTTATAAATCCCTAATGCAATGTAATTCTATGGCTAAACGAATATATGAATCTAACATAAATGAACCAGATTTGATTTCAAATTATATTAAATTTGATCCATTTTAAAAGCTCCAGGTCTTACTGCCTTAACAGATTAAGTTTAGATCCAAATGAATGAATAAATAGGATACATCTAGTCCATTTTATTATAATTAGGGGTGGATTCGAGCTGAGCCGAGCGAAATACTTGGCTATTCGAGCTCTACTCGTAGAAATAGTGTTAGGCTCAAGCTCAATTTGAGCTAGAGACTTGAGCTCGAGCTCGTCTCAGTTCAAAAGCTCGCAAGTTCGAGCTCGGTTCAGCTCAAGCTCGATCACAAGCCAAGATTTTTCTGAAAAAAATAAAAATTATACATATAAAAATAATTTTTTATTTTACATACAAAAAATTAAGAATTATAATTTTTTTTACTATACATAAAAAATACAAATATTATTATATATATAATAAAAATTATTTATTATATTTATATGTATATATGTATGTATATAATAAAAAATATTTATTTATTATACTAGGCTCGATTAGGCTCGCGAGCCTCACGAGCCAAGCTTTACTAGGCTCGAGCTCGACTCGATTAGCAAACGAGCCTATATATCGGGCTCGAGCTCAGTTTAAACCAAGCCGAGCCGAGCTCGGATAGCTCATAAGAAGCTCGGCTCATGGCCACCCCTAATTATAGCCCAACCTATAACTATCTATATTAAGGTCGCATATAGATATTAATTGAACCACTTTTTCTAATATGACTATAATATAACAAATCTTATCAAGATTTTATTTTTGTTCTTTTTTTCTTTTGATAAAACTCAATTATGCATTAATATGACCCGTAGAGTTACAAGTACGTAAATCAATGTTTTTTTGACTCTTGGTTGATTGGCTGGTCAAACTAGTCAATCGTCAACCAAGTTTTGAAGCCATGGCCTTTACTTGTAAAAAATGTTGACTCAATCAACAACCTAGTGACTCCACTAGTTAAACCATTGAACCGTTTGACCTGACCAATGGATCACAATTTAGAAGGTAGCTCTTTTCATTTTTATGACTTTTGTAGTTTCGGCAGATTAAAAAAGTTCATTTATGGACTTAAACAAGATTCGAGACAATGGTATATCAAAGAGAACATCTTAGATAATTGTATCTATGTGAAGGTTAGTGGGAGTAGAATTGCATTTTTGATTTTATATGTTGATAACATTCTTTTAGTAGGAAATGATAAGACAATGTTGATGGAAATTAAGCAATTTTTATCTACTTCATTTGACATGAAAGATCTTAGTGAAGTATCCTATGTTTTGGCAATTAAAATATGCCAAAATAGAAAATTGAGACTTCTAGGCCTTTCACAAGAATCTTACATAAAGAAGATGCTGAAGAAATTTGGCATGGACTCTTGTTCTTCTGGAGAGTCTCCATTTGTTAAAAGGGATATTTTAAGTTTTGATCAATGTCCTAAGAATGATATGGAGCAGCAAAAGATGAACATCCCTTATGCATCTGTAGTTGGGAGCCTAATGTATGTCATGATTTGCACTAGACCTGACTTGAGTTTTGTAGTAGGAATACTGGGAAGATATCAAAGCAATCCAATATGAAAACATTGGAAAATAGCTAAAAAGGTAATAAGATACCTTAAACGAACTAAGCACTATATACTTGTATATGGCCAAGTTGAAAATCTGGAGGTGCTTGGATATGCCGACTCTAATTACAAGGGATGTTCAGACTCCAGAAAAATCTACTTCTAGGTATGTTTTCATGACGGCTAGAGGAGCCAAAAGCAAACATGCATGGCTCTATCTACCATGGAGGCAGAATACATCTCTTGTTGTGAGACTATAAGGCATGCCATATTGTTGAGAAGCCTTCTGAGAGAAGTGCTCATCATTGACTTTGTATTCAGACCCTTACAACTTTATTGTGATAAATACGCTACAATTGCACTTTCGAAAGGCGCACGACATCACTCAAGAGCTAACATATCAACATCCAATATCATTTTGTTCGTGAAAAGGTGTATGATGGATCAATAATTATATCTTATGTTGCCTCAGAAAACAATTTAGCAGATCCTATGACTAAAGAACTTCCTATTAACATATCCAAACAACATATTAGTGATATGGGAGTCTATGATGTAAATGAATCTATTTAACTAGTGGGAGCTTGTTTTGCCAACTTGTAATTTCATTGTATTTCAGATATTATATGTGCACATTTGATTCAGGTAGTTGATCACTACTAATTGTCCTTCATCATCCTGATACCTAGATGACATATACCATTATGGTTTGTTGTGAGCTCATTCTATTATACCCAGTTTGTACCTAGTGACTTGGGGATGGTGATTTAGTAAATATTTTAATATTTTAATAGGTTTGCTTGCATTAAATTAGCAAGGGTCCTTTCATGCTCAAGTATTTATTGCAATCATTAAAATCAAGATTATTGACTTCCTTGCTTTGGCCCTATAAAAATTTTCTCATAAAATGACAACGGACCAAATGGGAGATTGTAAGACTAATCACATTCTCACGTAGTTTGGTCATGTTATTGCATTCATTGGGCTGTTAGAGAATTGAAACGTTTAGAGGCTTCAAGGTCATTTATGGGTGGACCTTTTGATTGCCTCGAGAACATCTATAAATAGAGAGTCACCATTTGGCCCAGTGCTCATTTTCAATCCGTTTTCCATCTCCTTGGAGGCTTCGAGTCGAGTGGAGACCCGTCTGAGAAACCAGACTCTGGTGAGATCAAAATTTGCAAGTTAGAGAGATGGAAGGTACCATTTGTCTTTGATATTTGAATGTATATTTGTTCAACAACGTATTTAGAGCTGATTTCCATTGTTTTATTTTCAAAACATCTTCACATGTAACATTTTATATTATAAATTTCATCAAATATCAAGTTGACATATAGAATTTATCATGTGACATATAGTAAAGCAACAAGATGTAACAAAAAACTTATTAATGCTTTTAATTTCAAAAGCTTGTATTGAAAACAACGTTTACGACCGTAAAAGCACGACACATCATTCTTTTGTGCTCCTTAAAATTATAGCTCAGATAAGAAGTAAAATATTTTCCATCCCTTATATGTTAGAAAAAACAGATTCATAATGCATCTAAATGAGAAGTTCTAGAACCACAAATTCTTCTTACAAAAAAAAAAGAAAAAAAAAACACAAATTCAGAGAACAGAGGCTCAAAATACAGTTAGGCTTTCGAATGTTGAAACAATCGATGTTGAATGCAGGTGCTTTAAACATCATCATGGTTCATAGATCAACTACATTGTTAGGGCTATTCTTGAAAAATTAAAACGACAATGTACATGATTTACCAGATATACGGTGTAGACGGCATTCAGTATGGCTAGCATTGTTCTTGGTAATGTACAACCGTTTCCTACCCTGATTGCCCTGTATCACTAAAGTTCCGAAATTCAATTCTCTGTAGAAACATTAGATAACGATTCACTATCCAGGAGGTTCATACATGACGGTGGGCCTGCCATTCCCACTATCAAAATTTCTAACAACCATATTCATCTACTTCAGAATAAAATGACACTTCGAGTAGTCCCACTCTGGAATTCTACAGACTCTTTGATCATTTGGAAATCATCAATAGTAATTCACTGTCCAGAAGGGGTATATAAACTTTTTTTTTTGAAAAGGGTGAGGCGTGCTTGATTGAAAAAACAGAAAAAAAAGGTATACAAGGTGTATACGCTAGTAGCCCCTGCCAAACCACAACACTAACTCAGGCTCCCATCTCCCACAAAACGAAAAAGACCGGCCTAGGACAGGCCTACTGCCTACCTTTCCTGATTCTTACCATATTTTCTAACATGACCCAGAAATCAGTAACAGTGGAACCAGGGATCTACCTTGTATTGCCATTCAATCACAGATGGTGATGCCTTTATAGATGACTGTATAAATTGCATAAGAACTGTTAAAAATAGATAACGGAGTTTAATCACACAAAACTGAATCAAAACCATCAACCTTTTTATACATTGAAAGGCTGCTCCCAAGCATGAAGGAGATGTCATGCATTTGTGACATCAACATCTCTAAATTGGAGTCAGTTTGTCTTTGACTGCATTCTTGCATTGACATTATCACCATTGGCGCTGATTCATTGGCATCCTTCTCAGTTTGACTGTCCACACCTGCAACCGTAATGTACATGAAAGAAGATATAAGAGAGGGTAGTTCATAAGGGGTGTTGTTGTCTTGGGTTAGGAGACAAGACTCATAGTTGAGGAACTGAAGTCTGTTAAACATCAGGAATTGCCAACATGTACTCAGAGGATGAAAGCTTACCATCTGATGGGCCTCATTTAATAGAGGGTCCATGCCAAAAATAAGCATGAATTTATGAAATTCTAACCAAATCTTAAGCTGATTTTCAACTCGGTACATCTTGGCAGAACCAATTATATGGTGGTACAGATCTTACTTATGAGATCGGTGGCAAGTTATGGAGACCCAGAGGGCTTTACAGGTCCTGTGGCCCTAGGGACAAGTTTTTCTGTCCACAGTTCATAGAATTATAATGAATTCAAGTTCTTGTTTGAGAATGCAACTGAAACATTGATTTCAAATGACCAAGAAATCCAATTAACTCGTAGAACTAAAGAAGCATTCAAATATTTAATCATCCTTGAATATCATTTTATAAAAATAAGAGAAGAAAATTGTTACAAGGTAACAAAGTTGTGAATCTTATGGGAAAGAGCAACCCCATCTATTCTATCTCTTCCCGGTTGAAGATGATGATAACCTCTAGAAACAGCTGGATGTTCCAAGTGAAAATACTTCAATCAGATAGCTGATCCAACATTATCCTACATTGACAGATCCTAGTGCTGGTGCACCTCATCAATTCTCCTATTTTACTTACTTGCAACTGTGAAATATTTGGAATACACTGAAGGTTAATGGGTGTAATTTTGAGTGAAATGATCCATGCAGCCTTCAGCAGTGGAAGAGAGGCAAACCAGTGATCTAAAAGGCACACCTAGGTGAACAGGCGAGCCCCTTTGAAAAGGCGCACACCTAGTGTGCCTGGTGCACTTTGCACCTCATCTCAGGCTTGCGCCTTTGTTAATTCTTGTAAAATTAGGAATAAAATATGTTTAACATCATATTACCTATTTGATTCTGTATGATATATTTGATTTTGTTGTTTGCATTTTCACTTTGAATATGTTTTATATGTTATGGTTCTGTATTTTAATCTGAGATAATAAGATTTCTAAAATATTTAGTTTAAAATTAAAACTTCTATTTTTAATTAATATTGTTTTAATATTTTCTTATTTTATTTTGATTTTTTACATTATTTTGCATTTTTTTGATTATTTTAAATTGTGTCTTGCTTCAAAAAGGTGCATGCCTCCCCTTGTGCCTTGCATCTTGGGCACAAAATGCCCTTTGTGCTTTTTTGCCCCTTGCGTTTTAAAACACTGATGCAAACCATGGACAGCTCAGTCCTACTGGAGAGTGTTCAGCTTCAGTAGAGATTCCATTCCTCCTTCACAGGGTCTTAAACTGTCTTTCTAAGTAGGTTCTCCTGATTGTGATTAGTTGGATATCTAGCACCCTGCAGAGTTGTAAGGCTGACCAATTTGGTTGGAAATCTAAGATTCTGTCTCAAAAACTTGTTGGGAGTATAGGCCAATGTACCGAGTTGGGATATTCTGTCAACAAAACACGCTCCAACCCTCTACCAACTTGATCTAACACCACACTTCTCACCAAGAGACTGGGACCCACCACAAAAGTTGGACCCACCATGAATAAGATGTGTGGTGTGAGATCAAGTTGGTAGAGGGTTAGAATGTGTTTTGTTGGCAGGTGATCCAGACTCCAATTTGTGCTGGGGTTCACCTGCACAGGGAACATGTGTCCTGGGGTTCACCTGCACAGGGAACATGTGCTGGGGTTCACCTGCACAGGTGATCCAGACTCTCTATTATCTGTCCTGGGGTTCAACAGTTAGACAGGGAACATGTTTCCATTTCAGTTTTATACTTAATAGATGCTTTTTCTGCCATAATGAAGTAATAATTTGTATGGGAGTCTAGTTGATTGGGAGAATTTACTTATTTCCTCTCTTCATCAAGCAGTTCTTTCTCTCTAAATGTGATCACTTCTCCCTTCTTTCTCCTTTCTTTTATGATCAGCATGTTCATGGTATCGGAGAAGAAATAGTGATTCGTTCATTGACCATCTACTCCATGTGATCACTTATTTCCTCTCTTCATCAAGCAGTTCTCTCTCTAAATGTGATCACTTCTCCCTTCTTTCTCCTTTCTTTTATGATCAGCATGTTCATGGTATCGGAGAAGAAATAGTGATTCGTTCATTGACCATCTACTCCATGTTCTTTTCTTTCAGACTTTTGGGATATTGATATGTGATTTAGTGATCTGGTTTTATTAATCTGGTTGTTTCTCACTATTTCTCCATGTGTTTTTCTTATTATCACTTAGTGATGTGATGATAGGCTAATATATTAAATACCCTTTCAAATATAAAGAAGGGTCAAGCAGGAAATGTGAAAAAATGCTATGTGTGACTAGAAATAGGTGAATATGCAGTCAGTGATTTGCACGACTGTTGTTCAATAGATTCTACAATCAGTTATATGGCCTATGATCATTAATGGTGTTGTTTACGAGTCTTTGGAATACACAACTCCACTTGAACAGACTAGTGAGTGGTGTTTTTTCTGATTTTTTACCTATTCAAATATTAAAAGGAAGTGATTATGGAAAAAGGAAAAGAAGAGCTAATATTTGACTGAGAAACCAGAACCTGGAAGCTCTGCTTATGCTGATTAGGTACAAGATGTGTAAATTAAAACTTGTGGAATCCTATGGAACCAAAAACCTATAGCAGTTGGATGTTCTTAGTACTACTGCGAAGCAGATATTGGATCATGTGAAATGTACTCTAAGAGTAATAATGTTATTTGTATTTATTAGTTGTTTCAGTCATTTTTTACACTAGAGTAGGGAGATAAGACAATTGAAGTCTAATATATTGGGGTTATGTGAAGAGCTTAATATATGCGAACCAATTTTGTTTGATGTGAAAGTCATGAAACAACAATAGGGTTATTTTTATGTGGTAGAATTCTTCTCAGGTATTAAAGGAATTTGTTTTTGTACTTTGATGATTTTGTTTTTTGGTAGTAAAATAAAAATTTTACAAATAAAAAAAAAAGATAATACAGGAAGGTAACCAGTGGTGCACCCCCTTCATTTCCATCTGCATCAACAACAAAGCTTCTCAACTCATCTTTGTAGTCTATTAGCCTTTCCTTATGTTGAGAGTGATTACCCAAAGATGTTATGGTCTTTTCTTATCCTTTTGTATTTGGGCACCCAAGCAACGTTTTTTTTTTTTTTTGTAATTTTTCCTCATAACATAAATATCAAGTTTGAGTGTGTGAACAGTAACATACACACCTCTCATTTGTAAGACTCTTATCTCTTCTCTTCTTCTCCTTCACTCTATCAACAAACCCTAAGGTTGACAGCTTGGTATCAGAGTGGCTAGAGACTCTTGGGAAGATCTTCTACTGATCTTCTCCTGAGGGATGACCTGCCAATGTCAGACTACTGCTAGATGACATCAGTAGTCTGTACAGGTGACGACGAAAGTCTCTAAATCTTTTGGTTTGTTTTCTCCTGATTTTATAAGTTTTTTGGTATGAAATCTTGCAGCTGTTTGAAGCTTCTATGATTTGTTATGGTTTTTTTATGTGAAAATTTGTAGAAATTCCTGATTTGATGTTGAGCCTTGTTTAGCATGTTTAATGGAGTTTTCGATTTACGTTTTGGGAGTGATGGGAAGTGGTTCCGTATCTTTCTAAACCTTGAAGAATTTTTGCGAGATTTTCTTCTCCCTCTATATTCCTCCCAACCAGCTTTTTGGCCTGCTTTTGTCTCTTAACCATGTGGTGACCTGCTTTTTGTTCTTTTTCGAACCTAGTGATTGGAATAAGGGATCCACCCCCGAACCCCCAACCAAGCCCCTCGAGGCAAGCATCTACAAAAGTCCATGTTAGGGACCCCCCCCCCAACAGCTAGTTTTTGCTTTTTTTTGGGCCAGGGGGGTTATAGAAATACCCCTCCCCCCTAACAGCTATATAAGGGGGTATTTATGTATTTTGGCTTTGGGGAGAGAAAACATGACAATAATTCCCCCTAACAGTTATATAACAACTAGTTTAGGGGGCATTTGGGTAAAAGTGATTAATGGCATTATAATGACCAAAATACCCTTCCCAACAACTAAAAATGACTAATCTTCAGGGTACTTTTTGTAATTAAATTATTTTTAATTCCTATAAATACCCCTATCCTCCACCATTCTCATCACACCAATTTTCATACTCTCTTATACACACTCTCACACTCTATCTCTACTCTCTAATTCTTAACTTTATTCAAATTTCAACGAGAAGGCTTGCTCAAGTATCTCAAGTTAGCAATTTGGGAGGCATGGAGGCTTCAACATTTGAAATCAAGTTGAGATTCCAAACCAGAAATTTGGGTAAGTTGCAATTAAATTAATTTTTATTTTTTAGAATTAAAAAAAATGGCCGACTCCTCCTCCCGAAACCAATTCCCTAACATGTTCAATGTCAATCATGTTCAGTCGTAGTATGATAGTGTCAACACTGATATGGATGCTACTAATGTTATTGGAGTTCCCACCCCTAGTACTGCTACTAGAAGAAAGAAAAAGAAGGGTAGTAAGTTGACTAGTCTGATTTGGAAAATATTTAGTAGAAGAAGTTGAGGGGAAAGGAAAAAGAGCCATTTGCCGTAAATGTAGGAGTGACTATATAGTAGCAAGGGTGGTACTAGCCACTTGGGCATACATGTTCTCCCATGAGAAAAGTGAAGAATAAGGGAAAGAAACATCACAAGCACAAATTGGGTGTGGGTCATTAAATATTATTCTCAAGAAAAAATGAGGTCACAAGCATATGCTCTTCCATTAAGGGTCGTTAAATATTTTCAAAAAAAAAAAAGAGGCAAGAGTTAGCAAAGTATATCGTACATGCTGAACAACCATTTTTATTAGCTGAAGATACTAAGCTTGAAAGTTTTTTACGACATTCTTTAAATCCACAATTTAAAAATGTTTC